AATGTCTGCTTTTACATTTTTCTGCCTTTTTCACAAATTTTATCAGATGAAAATTGAGAAGGGAAAATTATATGAATAAATTAATTTCTGAAACATAAGGTTCAATAAGAACATAACAAATGAAAAGTATTGATGGAATAAATACTGGTAACTATTGCAATATCAATTTATTTAAAAAGAAACCTATATTCCAATAAGACTACCTAGTATATTTTTTCGTTTCTTACGGGTTCCAAGATTTGGAGTGATTAACGACAACACTTGATGAAGAATGAAAACGCAATTTATTAGCCAGTATTACTCAGGACAGCTCCAAAACCACAATTACAATTGTCGAAAAACTACAACAAACATGCTAAAACAATCAGCAACACAGTCTTTAGGCTATCACGCTATAACGACAAAGGCAGCGTCACAGGAAGGCACCAGAGTATGGCTCCCGACTCTTTAGCCGTTCTCGGAACTCAACGTATTCTCAAGACTCTTCATGCTACAAGTCACGATACCTCAACAATGCACACTGTCAATGCACCAACTCACAATACACTCAATGCTAGACTCTACTCCGCATACAGCAGGGTTTACATAGCTTTTAGCATGCCTTCGAGGACATTCTGGGCCAAACCAGTAAGAATTTATTCTAAAAAGTTCTGTAACCATCTATGGCATATCGCTGATTCTGTCACCAAATGGGCAATTTCACACCAAATCTGGCAACTCTAAGTCCACTTTGTGGGGAAGCTATCTTACTGTAGCTGGGCATTTCATAACACTGCCCCTTCCCAAGGACTGCACATCCTAGACACAACCTTGGTCAGGAGCCAAATTTGATACAAACAAAACATAATAAAACAAATAACATAACTAAAGAAACAAGTATTTGCACTATATACAAGTTATACACACAAATTAACCACATAATAATTTTAAATTATACAAATTAAAGTTCAGAATGAATTTCAATCTCAAGCTTTTCATTAAGTTATACCCGGGTTAAATACCTTTTCACTGCAGTTCTCAGACCTATTTCTGTTTTGCATATCACAGTCTGAAGATTCAGTCCTTTCAGACTTCTCATTTACAAGAAGATCTGAAACAGTTTGCTGACCACTCTGTAGCTTGTTCGCATCATGTATACAAAGGTACTTTCAGCATTTGGTACATTCTTATTTTGCTCTATTTCTAGAAAACCAGTTCCAACTTTTGCATCAGAGTTATGAATACAATCCAATTCTTTATGAACAGAAATACCCTGGTTTAAAATCAAGTTGGTGTCTGTACAACTTGTATTAGCAGACATACACTTAATTTGTGAAGTGGGTGAATTTTCTTGCAATACTGGAGCACTCTGTGTAAGCTGTAAACAGCTTATTCCATCTCTGCATCACATGCATTTTCAGATTTCAGATGGTTTCATACTTGCTAAGGGCAACTTCATAATTTCACTATCAGTTTTGATGAACTTAACAGTCACATTTTCACTTTCTTCCACTTCCATTATGAATCAAAAGCTTCTTTCGTTCTTTTTCTTTAATCCTGTTAGATGTTTCATCCATCCTTTCTTGATCTTTCTCAAACAGTTCATTAGCGACTTCCTTCATTTCTTTCTCTTTTAATTCTCCATATGCCACTACTGTCATTTTCACATCTTCCGTTCTGGCTTCAATTTTCTCTCTAAACTCCACAATGTTCCTTCGAATTTCCTTTTTCTTCATTTCCATCCACTGGAGTTACTCAAGCAGCTTTTCTTGGCTAGCTTTTACTTTTTCTTTAACTGAGTTTGACAGTGCTTTCCATCTCTTCTTGAAATACAGCAAATATAGTCATAAGCTGTCTTAATTGTTCTTCCATCACTCTTGTCACTGCCATTCACTCGCAAATCCGACTTCTGTCACCTGTTATTGTGTTTCTTACAGGTTTGTGGATTTGGAATGATTAACGACAACACTTGATGACGAATGAAAACATAATTTTTTAGCCAGTATCACTCAGGACAGCTCCCAAAACATGTTTAGTCTTCGAAAAACTACAACAAGCTAAAACAATCAGCAACACAGCCTTCAGGCTATAATGATGAAGACAGCTTCTTGGCAAAGCACCAGAGTAAAGCTACCGACTCGTTTCGGTTGTTTTTGGAACCTGATGCACTTGATGATACACTTGATAGTTTCAATGATGCACCAACTCATGATACACTTGATGACCAACTCGACACTAGATAGACTACAAGACACTCTCTACTTTACATACCAGCAGAGTTTATATAGCTTTTGGCCTGCCTTCGGAAACATTCTGGTCCAAACCAGTAAGAATTTGTGCTATTATTATATTCAATAGAAGGTTCTCCATCTGTCTATGACACATCACCAATTTTGTCGCCAAATGGGCAATTTTGTGCCAAATCTGGCAACCCTAAACCCACTTTGCACGGAAGCTGTCTTACCGCAGCTGGGCATTTTGTAACAATATTAACTTTACCAAATAGGATATCTTCATTTTAGCTGTGTCTCGAATCTTGCCCGCTCCTACTTCAGTCCACAGCTACTCATTATTATGACTCAAATCATTTAATGCTGCTAGATCTGCTGTCTATGTAGTCTGTTAGAACTTACAACTTACTCTTTGCCATTATCACCAGTGGTCATCATCTCCAACAATGCTCAGTCAGTTTTCCTATGTGCAATGATCTTCAGAACCATCATGATCATTAGAATCCCCATTTTCTTAAAAATCTGATCAAAGCCCATAAACTCAAAATCCATGAACAAATCAATCAGTAAGGTAAAAGCAATCACTACATAGCTGAATCTATTTTAAAAGCTAATTAATTAAAGTTCATCTTGAATTCCAACATTAGAGATATATTTATTGGATATATTATAAAATATATAATAATTTTATAATGTTTAAAAAATTAAAAGAATTATCACTGCACACAGAGGACAAAGCCAGGATAATGCAACTAATCCAAAAGTTGTCTAAACAAACCATGCCGAAAAAAAGCCTCTCCACACATCATACAGCATAATCTAGTCATTCCTTAAATTAATAGCATGTCTTCAGCAAAAGGATGTTAAAATATCAGAGGAAATATATAAAAGATGAAGTTAGACAAAGTCAATGTGAGTTGTTCACATAAACTGATGTTCTAATGTCTCTGAAATGTGGAATATATACAAATTGAAGAGTTATTACTTGATATATCCATTTCTCCTTATGAAATATATTTTATAAATTAGAACACTGACCACTTGCTGCACAGGAGAAAGGAAACAGCCAGTTTATTAATTATTACTAGTAAATCCCTTTATAATCTCTGTATTGATTTATAACCTAATATTGTGTTATTGTTTTTAGTTCAGTTAATAGTTCACTTAGTTTTGTTAGTTTTAATTAGTTTTGCTAGTACAGTAGAATTCCAGAAATCCGCAAAGCTTGGGACCAGAGGTTGTGGGGATTTTAGGATTTTGTAGATTTCAGGACAGAAAAGATAAAGCATAATATTCGGACTAAAGTGGAAAATGAATAAGGCATATAAGATACATTTAATTAAATTATTATATACGTTATTGCAATAATTTATTAACATTAATTATTATTACATATATAAATTGATTATATTATTCATTGTATTATACACACAGCATCAAGGTTTGCTGATTTCGCCTCGTGTAAAGATTTCCGATTTCGGATTTCAGTGTTAGAATCACTGTTACTATAAAATTTCAACAGCTTTTCTGTATTGTTCCGTATATTATGCACAGTCCATGTGGCAATTTCATATGATTCTTGCTTATAAACTCGAGCTAGAAGCACCTATGCTTCCATCTTTAGCAGAAATTTGCCACTTTTTTCATTACCGTCAGTGCAACGTGTTTATGTTTTTCAACGTTGCAAGCAGTAAAATCCCGAGTGCGTTTCTTATCTGTCATTGTATTAAAAAGGGCTGAAATTTAAAATATTCTTAATTTATCCACAAAACATCAGAATAAAAAAAAGGCAGCACTAAACAATCTCGTGAAATGAAATAACAAAGCTCAGAAAATACAACAACGCGAATCATGAACTTGAACAAAGAGTTGAGTGAATCATCTGCTTTTTTACCTCGATGCAGATTAGAGGGGAAAACTATCTTATTTATCTTATTTTTTTAAAACTTTTTTATATCACTAATTTGGTATTTCCAATTTGACTCATTATTATTTGGTAATTATGACATCACTATTCGGTAAGTATTTGTCCCTTCGATATTTCGTACTCAATGTACTCAATGTCAATTCCGGAACCTATAAACTGAACGTTTATATTTTGAGAGGCAATGCACATTTCAGGAGTTGGCGGATTTCAGGTCGACGGATTTTTGGTATTTGACTGTAGTTTACCTGCACCCTGAGAGATAAACCCTGAGTGGCGTAACTGTATCTGCTCATGAGATTTTTTTTGTCATTTAGTATATATTATAATTTAAAATTTTTTGTTTTATTACTTTCTTTACTATTGAAATATCATCTTAATGAATGGAAGTTTATAAAAATGGACATTAAAATACATAATTATAAAAATTTAACTAGTAGAAGCTGTTTAAATACAGATCTTCATGAGCAGATCCGAAAAGCTCTGCCATTCATAGAGTTAAATACAAGTAACAGTTTTGCTGATTTAAACAACAGATATTTGACTGCAATGGAATAGTCAATTCCTACCTATTTAAATTTTCTTAAGAATGGGTCCTCAAAACAAAATGAAAAGTAACATTATGCTAATCTAAATGAAACATTTCATTACGGCCCTACTTATTCAAAAGTATAGTGGAAATTTACAAAACTGTAAGCTGGAGGACTACAAAATGTCAGTATAGTAGACACCATTTATGTTTAACAAAATAATAACATATAGCTTTAAACTGATAATTAAAAATACATACCTTAAATCTGAAACAATGCAGATAAAAGTATGTGTAATATGCTAAACTGAGACAAATTAAACATGCTAAGAGACAATAAAATAAACAAAATGTAAATTTTTATAGTAACTTATGATTACATTGTTTTATATAAATTGAATTTTAAGTATATACAAAATATATAAATTCAGATCACTATAAAGCTATGTACAATATTGATCTCCAACAAAGATAAAAGAAAATTTCGGCTGAATGTATCTTTAAAATCTCAGGTTCATCTAGAAGAAAAAAGATATATGTATATTATTATATTGGCATATATTAACAAAATCATGTAAAAATATGAAATATCTACAAAACAAGAAGAAAGTATGTTAATCTTTTAGTTGTAGATAATATGGAAACTACATTCAGTAATTCTGTTCAATTTCTACAGACTGTGTTGTCACCATGCTTCAGTTTTCTTTTAATGTATCAATATAGCTAGCTACAGAAAATTTTGTTTGCTTGTTGTAATTATTTTGACAAATTCAATCTGGAGAAGACCTCATTTGCCAATAATTTTACTTAATGTAATATTTAATTTGTAAAATAAAAATATTTTAACCCAATCCAGTTACAGAAATGTTTTCAAAATTTCCACTTTTATCATAATCTAAGACAGAGGATGAATATCCCATTGTGAAAAATGTATCAGTTTATATATTATTTGTAGATTAAGGATTAAAGAGCATTGATTTAAAAAATATATGCAGACATTTTCAACATTGCCTCCAACTTTCTATATTAATAAACAAAGTTATACGCATTTCTTAATTTTAAAAATAAAACATTTCTAAGAAACACACGAAGATCAGGGCTGTGGAGTTGGTAGGGAAAATGACCGCCTCCGACTCCTGGAATTTTAGACTTCGACTTACTCATATATATATATGTGTGTGTGTAAACATATACACATGGGTTACAGCTTATTTTTTTTAATATAAAAGAAGTAATAGATGCTACAGGAAAAAAAAAAAAATTGATGGTATAGCAAATTATTTATATTAATTAACATTTATTACGAAATGGAAAAACTGGCATTAGTTATTTCTAAGAAACAGCATAGCTTCGGCAAGATCTTCTCTGTTGGAGGACCATAGATCGGATTTGATAAACTTCAGAGCCGAGAAGACCCTTTCCACACTCACTTGAATAGGAGGAAGAGCTGTTATTGACAGGGCTACTTTTTTTAACATTTCAGGATAGATTTTTATAAGTTAACAATCATATTCCTCTATTTCTTCAAAGGCCATGTAGAAATCTTATTTGTATTTTTTCATTTTCATATCTAAAGGCTCCTGGTTCTTTATTTTCATTCGCTTTGCCTCAGCCTTTCAATATTATCCAAAAATGTTTCTCAAAATCTAATTCATCACTGAAAGAGGATGATAGAGACTCGGTTGCAATGTCTGCAGTTTGACCATCCTGATTTGAATATTCCAGTTGTTCTGAAAATAATTTCATTCTTATTGTTCATAGATGGCTTTCTTTGCCTTCTTAATTTGTTCATTATTCAACGAAATTTGGTGTTTTGGATCTACATATATTGAACCCAGCAAGATCTCATTGTCTAGCAAATTAGTTTCTTTTTTCTTCACTGAAGAAATGATTCCTTAACCCTCCATTTCAGAAAGAACAAACATCATATTCTTCCATTTTTTGTGACTATATATGGTGTAGAAAGAAGATTTTCCAATTCTGAAAGATCAGTCCACAGTCTTTAGTGAAATATTAGGGTTATCTACATCTAAAAAAGTTCTTAATTCTAACAACCTCTACATTATCAAATATGTACCTCCTCATCACGCTGCTTGATCAATAATTGCTCCTTGTCCTGCTTGCTTCCTAAAAATGGCATCAATTTTGGGAGTTCTTGCTGCTATTGCTGCTTACCTAAATTTACCAGTGAGATTTGTAACTAAATGAATCGGTTTAATCACTAATGGCAAATATCACATCCATCCTCCTCCCTTATATTTATTAATATGTCAATAAAATAAAAAATAACTATTTATTAATGTACATAATCCATAAATAAAAATAATAACTCAAGTTTGTCATTATTATTTTTTTTTTTTTTCCAATTCACTTTAATTTCATTTCAAATTAGTCGGAGTCAACCTGTTTTTAGTGACTCCAGCTCCAACTACTTTTACCCCAAAATCTGCCCAACTCCAATTCCACCTCTCCATGACTCCAACTCTGATTCTGCAGCCCTGATGAAGATACAAATATGATCTACCACTACACAATTACAAAGACGGAAAAGTTTGACAACAATAACCAGTGTAATAATTGGGACTGCCTTTAAGAGCAAGATTTATATAGAAACAGAAACATTTATTGACAAAATTCAGTTCCAAACATTAATTTTGAAACATTTATGGGTGTTTTGTTTATCTTGCACACGTTTCCAAAAACTGTATCTCTCTCTCTAAAGAGATCTCTAAAAATCTCTAAAGAGAAGACTCCAAAATTTCACTGTGGTTAAAGATTAAAATATGGATAAGTATAATTTTAAGTCACCAACCTGGTCTTCTTGATTTTAAATAGCTTTCCTGTAAAAAATTAAATAAAATATCTTATTTGAAGTTGACTACATTAAAACAGAAAATGTACTGGCAGCCTTAATTTCAATTAGGAAATGGCAGAACATAATCATCATTCTAGTGACTGTATATTAATCACTGACTTAATACCATAGATTGAATAACAGATTATAATAATCACGTAAAAAAAAAGATTAGGTAAGAAAAATTATAAAATTAATTTTCAAAAAACATCCTAAAATTATTTCACATGTTTTTAGTGACAAATTTTGAGTGCTTGTTTTTTTTTTTTTCCTTTCCCCCCCCCCCCCCCCATGTTTACATTACAAATGAGAAAAACAAGAAAAAAATTATAGCAGAAATTGTATTTCATTAGGAAACAATACTTTATTTATACAAAAAATTCTATTCAGCAATATTTAAAAATACAAATTTAAAAAATAAATCATAAAAAATGTGCGAATTACATTTGGATTAAGCCTAAATTTTGAATTCTGGAAAGAAGGAATCTGGAAGAAAGGAATCAAGTAAGTTAAAAAAAAAGAGAGAGAGAGAGAGAGAGAGAGCTATTCATAAATGTATATCATATTCAATTAACACTGAGGAAGTAAAATTTTGAGAGCTAATTTCTTAAAATCTCCTCATACGATTTTTACAAAATTGGGCTGTTTGACATAATTTGAGTCACAGAATTGAAATATGGTAAAAAATTTGCATGTCATTTCAAAAAAGTCCCAATTTTGTGTCAAAATACCTATATTAGAACAATGCTATATATAAATCTAATACATATACTAAGTCACGTTTTCAAGACATGAAAACGCAAGTTAAATTTCGTCCATTGGCCCAGTAAAATGGGAGATATAGAACTGTCCCCCCTTTTTTTGTGCAGTGTGCATGTTAATATGCCCCCATGATGAAAGTTTCACAAATAGCTAACATGCATTGCCCTAGAAAAAGTGGTTAGAGACTGACTATTGGTATGAAATTCAGGGTGCTAATTACTAATGTACAAGGATATTGCATCTTTTTCTCATCTTAACACAGGTCCAAAACCCTATGGTGCACCCTAGGCAATGTTCTCGATAATGAGACTGCTTAAAGATGATGGGTTTCATCATTATTGACAAATTGCTCCAGAGCAAGTGTCAGACCACTGGATTTAAAAAAATTACTATGCTAAAAAACTAAACTAAAAAGTATAATATATTAAAAAAAAAGGGTAACGAAAATTTATAATGCATATTTTACTTTTTAAAGACTGTCTTCATGACTATTTCATTCATTTCTTCCCTCTGCAGTGTATTTTTTTTTTTTTTTTTTTTCAGATTCATATAGTTTTTGCAAATGCTTTGTTTAAATTATGCTTATGCACACAGTGAGTTTAATGGCATCATCTCTACATATAATAAAAGAAAGAGTCTGTCTGTGTGTGTCTCTTCATTTGCACTGCGCGTAAGCTAATAGACTCACAGCTACGAAATTTGATACATAGGTGCATCTAGACAAGAGCCAGTGCACCTCGAAGCGATTTTTTCTAAATTCGAATTAGAATTTTTTTTATTTTATGTTTTGTGGTGAAATCACGTCATGTTGAGACATAATGGGCTATAGGAAAGCGAAATTTTACTCTACACACTCCATTTTCACATCGTCATGAAACAAAGGCACTTAGCTATTTTAGGAACTTAAAATAAATTCCGTGTTTCAATAAATCGATTAAATACGAATTTATTTAACAAAGTGAGCTTAACACTTTTCCAACGGGATTTTTTTCTAAAAAAGTTTATTTTTCTTTGGACACGTTAAACTTTCATCCTTGCGACTGTTTTTACAAAAAGTATTTTGGAAAAATGACAATATTTCGTATTTTAAAAAAAAAAATTTTAAATGAAGCTTCCGAGTACACTTCTCACATCTTTAAAAATGTGATTTTGGCAACAATTTTCCTTTCTTATTGTTGTTGATAGATTTTTGATGAAATCGCATCATTTTGAATAGTTTCATTCTTTTAGAAATATGAGTTTGGCAACAACTTTTCATCATATATCTTATGTCACTGCTTTTAAGAGATTGGCATATTTCATTGTAATTTTTTTATATATATAATACATTTTCATTGATTTTTTTTGATAAAGTTGTTCTGCAGAGAAAAATTCTGAGTGGAATTTTTTGTTTTTTGAGTTTCTTTCATGTTATTTTTTGCTTATTTCACTCTTTGTAAGATATTGAAACGTTTTGCATGATTTTTTCCCTTCAACAGAAAGTTTGTTAATTTTATTATATGTAATACATTTTTAATTTTTTTTTTTTTTTTTTTTTTAAGTTCCTGCAGAGTAAAATTCTGCGCAGTTTTTAAATTTAACGTTTGGTGTTCCTTTCAGGCCTTCTTACAGTAAATTAAAAGCCAGATGAAGGCTGGCAGCGTAGCTGCTAGTGAAATAATAAAATAAGGGTTTTACATAAAAATAAGAAAGTCGCCAATGATACTGCAAAAGCACATGTTTATCTTTATTTCAGGAAAGAATATAAAAAATTCTCCATAATAATAATAAACAGAAATCAGGATCTTAAAAATGGGAGAAATTGCTTTGATTTGTAATATTCAAAAGCTGCAAAAGATCGAAAGGATAAGATGAAAATTTATAAAAGGAGATCCTTCATTTCTTCAAGTAAATTTTTCATGTTTTTAAATCTATATTCATAACTATTTTGAGATTACTGCTATAATAAGTTGTCATATTAAGTAATTCCATGTTACATTAATTTGTAACTAAGTTAAAATAGTACTTACCTTTACTTTTTTCCATTATATTTATGGCCTTCTTGCAGATACAAAAAGACAGAAGAAAAATCTTTTGTTGGGAAGCCACTGTTTATCATCATTCTATATATCTGATGAGCTGATGAACCAAGAGGGATAGGTGAATTAGTCTTTGTAGCAGCTATTTGAGCTAAACCCAAGTCCTTAACAAGGGGAGAAAAAAATATACGTATATATATGTATATATATAAAAAACAAAGTATTTCTATTTATGTAATGTAGTATTACATGATAATAAATAAGTAAAACTAATAAATCACCAAATAATGTTCATGTATTGTTAACTAATACATTAAATATATTATGTATTGAAAATATAAACTTTTTCCCTTTTTACTTTAAATCTTTTCAGCATGGAAATCTGCAGTTTGCTTGCTTTTGAAGAAGCTGTAAACCTTTCACAAGAAAATGGAATTTTGCCATTACAATGAATCACAAGAATAAAATCACGTTTTGTGAATTTATGTTCCTTATTCATTCCGACAATCTGCAATCATTTTGAACTTGCCTAACATATAAGTACCAAAAACATTATTTTGATTTCACAAAACACAATGATAGATTGGTTATAGAATACTTAAGGTCTTGATTACAAATCTGAGCTTCTAGAGTGAATTTAAAAAAAAAAAGTGATTAAAAAAATTTTTTATTCTAATGAAAACCTTGACAATCATTAAGCATACACACAAAAACTAAATTCAGTAAGATCAAGCAGCTTACACAAAATTTAAAGCTAGAATTTTATTGAAATATTTACTTTTGCCATTAATGCAGTGCCAAATCCACCTTGATATCCATTAGAAGCTGGAACATTATCCATAACACCAGGAACAGGATTGTATACTTCACTAGCCCAGCATCTTCCAGAACTCATATTTAATATTTTGCTCATCATTTCTGGTTCCAATCCAAGCCTTTAACGCAATGAAAATACACTGTTAAAGAATATAATGAGGATATAAAAGATGATATAAAAGGAATATAATGACAATAAGGCAAAACTTTTAAGGACTAAAATGAAAGAAAGCAAACAGTAAAACTAGACAATATAATGCTATTATATTCATCAGATACCAATATTTAGAATGCATGCTTAGAATGCCACATGAATTAAATAAGAGTCTAAATGCTTGCAGATAACGCCTCCTTAACCATTCTTCTTATTGTTTCTCACTACTCTACTAGCACTCAACAAAGTCTAAAAGAATGAAATGTTAAGAATGATTTGCCATTCAAAATTATAAATCTCAAACAATAAATGGAATGCATTGTAGTAGAGCTTAAACTGTACTGGAAATTAATGGAATACAGTTCTAGTACTTCTGAATTTATGACAGAAGTTGTATTTCCACCCTAAATAAGAAGAGCTCTGGCATTTCTTTTATGAAACTGAAGCCCAATTTAAGCAGAAAAATTTTTTTAATCATTCATAAATCCTGCTGATAGAACATGTGAAAAATAATCATTTCATTACAACAATGAAAGCTTTATAAAATTTCACCATTTTTAAAACTGCTTATAACGATGTCTTGCATGCAATCATGCTAGAAATTTCTTTTTAATTATTCCCTCTCAAAATTACTTAATTATCAAATACTTATTATATTTAATATAAAATAGGGGTTCCCAACCCTATGCCTGTGGGCACTATGGCACCACCGATCGTTTAACATATGTCCGCCGCTCTGCGATCACAATAAAAATATTTCAGTTTTCAATAACATTCTACATGAAAATTTTCTCAATTTTAATGACACAGAAATTGCATCCAACACAGATACCAGCACAAAGCAAAATGTGATGAATCACTTTTCGATCCAACTATAAATTCACCTTGAAAAAGTAAATGTTGCCCACTGTCCAACAGATATTCTAGAATGTTATCTTAGAGACAAAAAAGTTGGGGACCCCTCATATATACTGATGTGAATTCAAAAAATAATTTATAATAAATTATACAGTTAAAATCATAACTTTTCCAATATGGTTTTTATTTGAATTTGTCTAAAAATTATCTGTTTCTACAAGAAAATCTTAAGAAAGTTTTACATTTTTATAAATGTTCAAAGTAAAAGCTACTGTCAAAGCAAAAGCAAGTCCAGTGAGCTAACACTGTTCATTACATAAAAATATACTCAACAGACATAAGAGTACAAAAATCAAAATTTCTTTTTGTTGCTAACTTGAACGTAGAGAACACAGAAATAATTCTAAACAACTGATGTCTTTCGGTAACAAGAGTACTCTGCCACTTACATAAAATTTTAAATGCTTCACTATTATTAACATCTTTGCTTCATAAAACATTTATTTTGACAATATAAAAAGTTCACTTACAGCATTTTAATGAATTACAGATGAATAAAAATTATAGTAAAAAGAAATTTTACACATACCGAATGCCAAGATTCATAGCTTCGGCTGTTCCTATCATTGAAATAGCAAGTGCCATATTATTGCAAATTTTTGCTGCTTGTCCAGTACCAACATTGCCACAATGAACAACATTTTGACCCATACACAACAATAATTCTCTGATAGCCTCAAATTCTGTTTTTTTACCACCAACCAAGAAGGTTAATGTCCCATCTTTTGCGGCGTTGACACCTTTTTTTAAAGAAGAAAATAAAATTATTAATTTATAATTTGCAAAATAATATTTGACATTAAAAATAAACACACAAGAAAGAATGAAGTATGGATGACTATACTTAGACACACTCATCTATACTTCTATTTCACATCATATCGGTCTTACATATCAAATGTGGTAAAAATTGAAACGTATGCTTCCAAAACTTTTGTAAGATCTGAGGTATAATCAGTACCACTGTTCTGAAATTAATTTAAATTTCTTATGATATGAAAGTATGTTATCAGAACAACAAGTTTACAGCTTAAAAGATTTATGCATTATTACAATTTTAAAAACTTCTAATATTAATGCTGTGAACATATTTGCCAATATGTTAAACTGCAAAATATTTTATAAAGACAATAACATAAGAAATATTTAGCAGCCATAAGAAAGCCACAGAATACAAAAAGAGCAACAATAAATGACTAAAGTACAATAAATATATCAAATATGCCAAAGATAAAATAATCATTTTTTATGACAAGGTTTAATTATGGATTAACATTCACATATTCAACTTATTTTCTACAGGAAAATCAATTTCATCTACTTCCATCACTTAGGAAAATTAAAAACAACATATTCAACTATATTTCTCTAAAACAGATTAGGTATTTAGTGCTGTGATATAATTTTTGTAAGGCTTTTGCGAACAAATGTACAAGTGTTTAATTACACAAATACAGCAAACTATACCCATTTTTGACATACTATACAATGCTACCAGATTTAGAAAATTAATTAATTACAAAAACATTCAATATAACCTTACATCACAGGAAACTCAATTAACCATTTAGTGTCTTGTCCAAACATGATCAAATTTTCACTCCCTCCTTTGCCTGGGTTCTATAAACGTAGTATAATTTCTACATATATTTCTCTGTCTGGCCAGAACATTTTGCATTTTGTTTAATTTATAATGGTTATATTAACTAATTATATTATTAATAGTGCTAGCAGTTGAGTAATGATGGATTGCAAAGCACGTTTCTCTGGTTTATTGTTGCTTTTGTAAGCTAATACCATTCCATTCTATTAACCTTATAGACATGTTTGCTCTCAAAAATATTTTTAATTCTGCTATAATTACACTAGGACAAAAAGTTTAACTACTACATGATATCAAAGCACACAGCTTATTGACAATTATTGAGATTTGAAATATGTACCATATTCTGAAATTTCTGTTAATGATTCTAGCAGTTGTGAAGATTCTCTATATCAGTAGTCTCAAATGGCATACGAGCCTCATGCATGATCTGAAAGGAGCTGATTGGCTGATTCTTTCTTCTTTCTTTCAACAAAAAGAGTGAATTTATAAATACAATGAAATATGTTTAACACGAACATGCTTAAGACGAAATATCGGTTAACACGAAATACAGTAGAATTCCAGAAATCCGCAAAGCTTGGAAACAGAGGTTGTGTGGATTTCAGGACAGAAAAGATAAAGCATAATATTCGGACTAATAGTGCAAAATGAATAAGGCGTATTAGATATGTTTAATTAAATTATTATATACATTATTGCAATAATTTATTATATGCATAAAATTATTATTACATATATAAATTAATTATATTATTCATTGTATTATATGTACACAGCATTGAGGTTTGCCGATTTCGCCTCGTGCAAAGATTTCCGGTTTCGGATTTCAGTGTTAGAATCATTGTTGCTGTAAAATTTCAACAGCTTTTCCTTATTTTTCCATATATCATGCACAATCACAACGCAATTCCATATCATTCTGCTATAAATCGAGGAGTAACACCTGCTTCCATCTTTTGCACTTTTTGTGTTACCATCAATGCAACATGTTTACGTTTTTCAACGTTGCAAGCAGGAAAATCATACAACGTGAATCGTGAACTTGAACAAAGAGTTGACTGAATCGTCTGCGTTTTTTACCTCGACGCAGATTAGAGGGAAAAAAAAACTTATCTTATTTTTTTAACATTTTTATGCCAATAATTTGGTATTTCCGTTTTGACTCATTATTATTCGGTAATTATGATGTCATTATTCAATAAATATTTTTTTCTTCGATATTTCGTACTCAGTGTTGCGGTTTCCGTAACCTATAAACTGAATGTTTATATTCTGAGAGGCAACGCGGATTTCAGGTCAGCGGATTTTCGGTATTTGACTGTAATACAATAGTCCCGACAAACTATCATGTATTTTCATGCATTTTTTTCCTGTTAACACAAAACGAAAATCGTTTAACATGAAAAGATTTCTCTTCCAGGAATGAACAAAATACTGAAAACATCAGCTGCGCAGGCGAGATTTAAGAGGGGAGTGAAATGTAAGAGAGATGGTTTCGCATGTTTCATAGAAAGGAGGTAACTTGGCTTTGAAGTACCCTTGGAATAGCCTGTAACATGAGCGAATTTTGTTTATCTATTTTCACCCTCCACTCCTATAAACGCCACACAAAACATCTCCCCTCTCATCAGTTGACTTTGGAATTCGGTGGTGAGTAAATCGCAATGTGTAAAAATCAGCGAGTTTGATCCGTGCCAAAAGAAATGGAGAAGGGGGATATTGAGACTGAGCCGATTCTTAATGAAATGTTTGAGAAAGTTTCTGTATTATTGGACTGTTCTAATTTATCATCAGAAGAATTTATTGCAGTAGATGATGATACTGTGTGTACAACCCCAATTATGGCCGACAAAGACAGTTTGGAGTTTGTTCAAAGCTTTAGATTTGGTGCTCTACCCCTACATTCATCTGTTCTCCCAAATTCGAGATCCTTCCATGTTACATAACACTGCTTGAAAAAAAGGTAACTAAAACTAAAATTAACCAATCATAGCTTAGAATACTTTCTGTACCTATCTAGCATAAATAGCTAATAACTGCATAGTCTCCCTATCTTTTGCCTCTTCGCCTGCCTGCTGACAAGAGTGTTGCTCTGCCTCTTCTAGCTATTAGTCATTATTTAATATTTAACTGCATATCTAAATTTATCGGGTGTATTTAGCACCTGATAATCTTCTAGCAGTTATGTGTTAAGAAATTCATCATTCAAGAATAAATGATATTTAACTATCAAGCTGGTCGTGCTTATTCTAAAATTCCATTTCTTTCCCTAACTGCTGCTCCACCAATTTCATGCCACTTTGCTTCTCAAATGCCTATGTCATTTCTTTTAAAGAACCAATGTCCATAGAAATTTATCATATTTAATTATGATTGAATAAGTGTCTGCTAAACTAATTGGATATATGTGAAAATAAAGATTGGTGATTTATAAAAAATGAGTCTCGTCTTCATTGTTATGCCTTAACCATCAGCTATGACGGATATCAAAAGCTGTTAAGAGTTCTAGTGTTTTCTTCTATGAATTAAATTAAGGCATATATATATATATACATATTTGTATGTAAATAATTATAAATTTCATTATTTCTTACTACAATGACATTTGATAGCATTTCAAGTAGTTTTAGTAACTTAAGTAGCTTTACTTAGTTTAGTTTCAACTAGATGTGCTTTTTACATCTGTTAAACAACATTACAAGTATTTTTGAAGGTAGATATTTTGAAATTAATATGCATGTTTCATTAGTTATAAGCAAAAAATTTACAAGTAATGGAATCCTAATTGTCAAAATTCACTGTTTATATTCAGAAAATATAGGCCAAAAAATTATTTTTTAACTATTTAAAAATCAATTTTCTAAACTTACATAATTATTTTCACATTGTACTGAAGTAATGACAGCTATCTGGGTTTTTAATTCTCTCGCTATTCTTTACGGTTTCAGTTCTATGGATGCTAAACTGATCCAAAACCAAAAGAGAGGGTTTTCTTAAGAGTCCACCAGGTCACCTTGCCTATACGTTCTGTAACCACAGTTTCATTCCAGCTTCGTCCATCCAGCCTTTCGGGTGAACATGGACAATTACACCTGTTGGAAGTTTTTCTTTCGAATGAGTTTTTCTTTTGAATATGAAAAACAGCGGTAGTTTAGTGCCATCAGGACAACATGTTAGAACTACCGTATATCAGGTTTTTTCATGACCTGTGGTTTTTATGGTTATTGATTTAGACCCTTTAATACTCACAGTCTTGTTGGATGGTAGATCTAATGTGAGTGGAATTTCATCCATATTTCCTATTTGACCGAGCTCAAAAGAAGTTCTCTTGCGTGCATTTATAACAAACCTATGAAATGCTAGTATTTTTTTCTTCATAATCTGCTGGCATTTTCTGTGCAATAGTTGTTTTTGTGTACATTGATAAGCCTTGCCTTTTCATGAACCTGTAGCACCAGCCCTCAGACTCTGAAAAGTTCTGATTCCCATGTTTTTCTGCAAATCCTTTGGCCTTAGTGATTTTCATTTTGGTTGAAACACTTATCCCAGATTTCCTCCTATCTATCACCCACATTTTTACGGCATTTTCAAGTTCAGGCCAAGATGGAGCTGGGCATCGAAGGTTATGTTTTTGTTTTTTTAGCAGTCTTCAGTTGATGTTCCTGCAGTTGCCAAGTACGTATCATTTTTTCGGTAGGTGGTGGACTGAAATGCCTTGCTGCTGCTCTGTTTCCATGCACTTTGGCGTAGTTTAACACTCCTAGTTTATACTGAATTGTATAGCTTAATCTCTTGTTTCCTGTAGTCATATTTTCCAGGGTATTTTTTTTAAACAAATAGTTTTAAGTACCGATACCGACATGTTTATACAGAGTAGCACCAATACCAACACGTGTGTCGGCTGAGTCAAAGAAAGTCTATATAAAGAAGGAAAGGCTCCATAGACGTAATGTGACCGTCGAACCTGTTCGAACTTCAACATCAGCTTCGAGCTTTGGCGCTTTTTGGCGATAGATATTTCATGCATGCGCATTATAATTATGGCGGATGTATAAAAAGTTATGTGTGTCTAGACCTTTATCTGGGCTAAAAATAGCATTCAGTATTGAAAGTTAACCTGTGTCTTTCACGTATAAGACGAAATTTTTTAGACCAAATATAGGAAAAAAAGTGCATCTTATATGCCATCAAATACAGTACTTACACAGAAATATGTTTCTAACACATCTCAATCTACAAAAAGTTAAATGATAGAAAACCCTGATTCATCAGCCACAGTTACAAACATGTATTCATTTCTATATAGTAATACCTATGCTGTAATTCACACTGCCCAGAAGAGGAAAGTTTATTTAAATCACAACATTGTTTGCTTCCAAACATATTAACAATAATTAAAAATGAAAAAAAAAATTACCTCCAGAAACTGGAGCATCAAGGTAAACAGCACTTCTTTTCTCAGCCATGAGCGCTAAATCTTTTGTAACAGCAGGATCTATTGTACTACTATCAATTAAAAGAGTACCAGGTTTAACACGTCTGCAATTAAAGAAAATATATATATAGCTTGCAATTTAATATACATATTAAACTGCAAAACAGACATGAGAAAATTAAAAGCAAAAAAAAAAAAAAAAAAAAAAAAAATTTTTCCCCCTTTTATGAAAGTAATGATTTTAAATTATTCACGCAATAAACTTATACTTTAATTACTTTCAATTATCCAACAATTCAAGAAAGATAAATTTAATAAGATAAGAAATCTGACAGCAACATGCTTTAGTACTGCAGCTTAACTTGCATTAAATAAATTCAAATGCAACAAATAAAATACCACAGTTTTAACTTACTCAAGTACTTTAACACAGTTTTTCAACTAACTACAGACATAACTTTTATGTGCACAGTTACTTCCATATTTTTAACCTTTTAACTGTCATGCCCGAGATCACTGGTGTTCGAAAATGTCATGCTTTTTTCAGGCTTTAATAATTGTAAATGGATATTCCCATAATGATTTGTGAGCGCAAGATGTAAAGAAGGATAATTTTTACTTTCATATTTTTTATTAAATATTAAATTTTTGCTGAGAAAATAAGAAGAAAACTTAAGCATAGAAAATTAATGCAACTTATAGCACTTAATAGAATTTTAAATCGACATAGTTAACTAACAAAGACCATTAATAAATCATTTTTATAAAGATTTTACAGGTAATTTTTCATAAAAAGTATAATCTATTAAGTTGCATTTAATTTCCTATGCTTAAGTTTCCTTCTTATTTTTTCAGCAAAAATTTATTAGTTAATAAAAAAATGTGAAAGTAAAAATTATCCTTCCTTACATCACTTGCGCTCACAAATCATTATGGGAATATCCATTTACAGTTATTAAAGCCTGAAAAAAGCATGTCTACGATGTTATCGTCATGCGATGATTTGTAGATACTTTATTTTTTACCACGATATTTTCGACGGCGATGTTTTTAAACTGCGAAGTTTTTGAACTGCTTTATTTTCGACGACGATGTTTTGTACCACAATGTTTTCTCCCACGATGTTTTGTAGCACGATGTTTTTGCCTTGCGTTGTTTTTCTCCGCGACGTTTTCCTCCGCGATGTTTTCGTCTGTAACCCTTCAACCAAAGATGAAAAATGTGTGTTTGATGAGTGTTTGACGAAACATTTGATTTTTGCAATTAAAAAATTTGATAATTTGTATACCCAAATCATCAAAATAACTTGAGAGTTAAAGGGTTAATGTTACACATATTTTATTTTATTTGTTTCTAATGAATGAAGATAGAAAGCAATCATTAATTGTGCATAAAACATTATTTCTGATGATTAACAATATTTTAACAATTTCAAAATTAAATCTTTTCGTTCACTTACACTTTCACAAAATTTATAAGTATTATAAATAGTTTGGTATTCACCTGCTTTTAGCTATTTGTATAGAATGAAATTACAGAAAAAAAAAAGCTTTTAAGCAGTCTTTCTGCTTTTACTTTTGCAAAGATAAAACCTAACTTAACACTTATTTCAAATGTAATTTACTTGAAAAGAAAATGCACATTTTACTCTATCATAGCTAAAACCATATTGATGTATGAATATTCATCAAGCATTAGAGCAAATTTTTAGCCTTTTAGAAAGGGAAAGAATAATTTTATAATAGCTGTTCATAATACACAATATGTATCATGGCCAAAAATAATATAGTGTAATAACATATATCATAGTCCTCTACTTCCTGCACTAAGATTTACATGATAATTAATGAAAGCCTGTTATGTATTCCATACAAAAAATAAAACAAACTTGGGGGAGGGACATTAATTTATAACTGCTTGAATTATGCTGTCTAAATAAAATATCTAAGAACCATATCTTAAGGTTAAAAGACAAGGAAATCATAAAAGTATAATGGCATTCAAGGGAATATTTTATCAGAAATAATGCAGTTTATGATGAAGCTCACAGCATAACTATTAATGCAAAACAGTAGTAATAGTTCCTAGAAACATATTTCTTATAGAACTAATTTAAATGGCAGGTTTCTACCTGTTCTTTTCAAAATTTTTTCACAATATTTAAGTTTTGTTTGAATGCTGCATTAAATCAAGACATTCTTGCCTTTTATTGATGCTTTTCAGTTAATGGGATGCCACTTGATACCAAACACAAATGTTGATGCAAAATCTATTTGAAAAAGAAATGGCAACTGTAATGATATATACAGCTTCATGTAATGAATGGCTATTTTATTAAATCCAAAAGGAATATAAAAACAATTCCCAAATTTGAAAGCATGTAATTATTCTATTTGACAATCATACAGTGATTCATTCGTAATTGCAGCTGACAGATTTCTATTAATACAAATGTTTGACACCAGTACAGAAAGACAATAGCTGTAAGAGGGAGAAAAATTCAAATCTAATTAGACAGAGCAAATGTTTTGAAAATCTTTCTCCACACAATAGATTTTTTATTGCAGTATTGCTTCAGTGCTTCCTTCATTTTGTAGTTTTTCTGACCAGTGTTTTCCATTATGGATAATATTACCTTGGAATTATTTAAATTGTGACTGTTCATAATTTGGCAATGGACAAATTATATAATCTATATTAATTATTTCTTTAAAAAAAGAATCAGCGATTCAATTAAAGAAAAACTTAAAATCTTGGAGGGAAAATTACTGGATCTATGTTCATTCTGTCTGCCAATTGACAAAGACATCATTACATAGCTATTTAAATAGCTAAATTTTACATAGCTAAATGAAATAAGCAAGTAACCACATTTCACACCGTAGTGCACAATTCAGATAGTACCCCATTAACCCAAGAGTAACCTTTTATTCTATGCAGGACAACCTAAAGTAAATTTAAACAATTATTAAAAAGCTAAAAATAAAATGGAAGTAAAGCCTATGAGAGTTCATACAGCTTTATTTTCTTAATAACGTACTAGAAGAGAAATCTGGTGCATTTAATACAAAAGCTAAAAATAAAATGAAAGTAAAGTTTATGACAGTTCTTACAGCTTTATTTTCTTAACAATATACTACAAGAGAAATCTAGTGTATTTAATAGTCCTGTAAACAGGTAACAATTTTATACTGCCTATGAAATGGAATACAGAAATGGGTTTTCAAAATAAATGCATTCATCACAAGAAAATAGAGGGAATACTTTAAGAGAAATTAAATTTAGCAATACTTTTAGAATAATTTTAAAACTTATTTTAATCTTAAACAATGGTTATTCAGATACTGATTTGAGGAACTATTGAAATTTCCACATATGCCTGTTTATATTCAAAGGGATAAAATGTTTCGGATGCCTTATGATTATAAATAAATTTGTGAGGAATGGCTGGATTTTTTCTGATAGGTTATGGAACATTGATAAAATATACTCCATATTTCCATGCAAGAGGAAGTTATGTGAGAAATTTGGAACAGTCACAGTTTCTGTCAATACTTACTCAAAAATACCATTTTCACCAGCATACACTTCTTGCACATGTGGACTTGAAGGTAACATAGTTATTACTCGATCACACCTTTCAGCCATATCTGCTGGATGCTGTGCAATCAATGCTCCACTATCGACAAGCTGTGTCATGGCTTCTGGATGTACATCGTAAACTATGATACAATGACCTTTTTGTAATAAATTCCTAGCCATAAAAGCACCCATGTTTCCTAGGCCAATAAAACCGACAGGAGCTTGAGACACTGATCGATCTATAAAAAATTTAACAAACATTAAAAGAAATAATTTGTAATGAAGTAACTAGAATAAAAACTACATAAGTATTAAGTATTCCTACGCATTTTGCACTCATTTATATAAGATTTCTAAAAGTAAAGTAAAAAGACAAAAATTCTTCATTTAGTTTACTGACAACCACATTAAAATTTAATGTGCAATTTTTCTTAATATTCTTAGTTTGTTATTGCTTGGCATAAATTTATAATAAATTAAATTTAACTCAAGCTATAATGTGAAACAAAAGGTTTATGCAGTTGTAATTCAATTAGTAGTCTGCTATCATTACACTTTATTATCAATATTCTAGATAAAGAAATGCTATTAAATAAACAATACTTGTCTTCTTAAGCATAAACATATGATAATTTATTTTCTTCTTTTAGATCTCTCATTAAAAGTGAGGTATGATAAAGTAGCAATTATTTATTTCTGCTTTTCAACTTCATCCTCACTGAATTTGAGTTAATTTTGGAACTTTTCCGAAAAAGCCGTACAATGGATTTTCAGTATAATATTGGAGCATTTTCGATTATTTCCTTCCAAATGCTTTTGGTTCCATACTAGGTGGAAAGTGATAATCAGGAACAGCAGTAAAGATCATAATTGCTCTTTATTTCATAAATTATGGTTTCAATTGTATAATTGTTTTAATTGTATAATTTCTGCATGCCATCTTACCAGATTTAAATTGATGATCTATAATCCGGAAAAACTCCTAATCCGGATTCGCCGAAGTCCCAACAAGTCCGGATTACGGACTTTGTACTGTAAAATTTCAACAAATTGAAATGTAGAATTAAATATTCATTTTTGTCAATAACTCAAATTTTAGATTAAATGAATTTTCGTGTCCTTCCCTAGATTTTGGCTTGTGTAAGTTCAACTGCATTATAGAAGAAGAGTTATATGTTTGTATTTTACATAAAGATACACAACACAGTCAAAAGACTTTAATCCAGATGTCCATGATACGAAATGATCTACAATCCTGACCTCAAAGCTACAAACTTTCTGCACATGCGTCAACGCATAATGCTTTGACGCATGCGCATAATACCTTTATGCATGCGCATATGCATTTGCATTTAATGTATAATGGACGGTATAAACTAAGCTAAAATTATCTATTTCAGTTAATGTTGCAGATTGCGTTGTTTCTTAATCTTCTAATTGGATCCGGCTTATTATTTTTTGCAGATTGTTAGAGCAATAAGCTTGAACTTTTGATTATGTCAAAAAGAATTTCCGATTCTGGAGCTGCCAAAGGATCTACAAAGAGAAAGCATGTTTTGATGTCCATCAAACAAATAGTGGAATTGCTGCAAAAAATGGATAAAGGCATATCCTTTGTTTTTTCTAACCATTCCAAAATCTGTTTATCAATTTCACGCTGCTGTGCGGGGTGGGGGGACATCGCTGGGTGCAATGAACTGGAAGTTGATCTGTCAGCACTATCCTCATCTTCAGAGCAGATATTTTTATTTTATTCAGCTTATAATTCCTTACTAAATGTAATATTTCATCTCGATGTACTCCGTCTTTGATATGATTTAAATCAAATTCCTCGTCATTATAAATATCACGAATACACATCAAATAGTTACATCAAAATACATCATTTCTGGTTGCAATTTTCTAATTTCGACTATGCGTAATGTATGCTTTATGCATGTGCGCATTGAAAGAAATGTTTAATAAAGTAAACAAATAAATATCAAGCTTTTTTTTGGTAAATTTTGATACCTTTTAGATCATAATTGCTCTTTATTTCATAAATTACGGTTTCATATTTTTAATTTTATAATTTCTGCATGCCATCTTACTAGATTTAAATTGATGATCTATAATCCGGAGAAACCGAAGTCCCGACGAGTCCGGATTAAATACTTTTCACTGCATAAATATTTTATTCTGCTTCCCTTCCATAAAATTTTAATACATCATCTTGTAACTGCCAACCTCTTTGGAACGCTGCCAAGCTAAGATAAATATTCTAACTGTGACACTGAATTTTTTTCATAAAACCTATATGAATAGGAGAATAATAGATAATGCTTTGCAGTCCTATGATCAATGTAATCGGTAACAATAATAAGTACACATTGCAAAGGATTGATAAATGCATTTTTTAGCACAGTTTCCTAACCTAAGTCTTAAATAATTTTGTTTACAAAATTTATCTACAATTTTATATCACATATAATAAAAGCACTTGCTTAATAACAAAACTGGGTACTTAAATAACAAAACTGAACAATCGAATTGCACTGTGAAAAAGCAGAAATCTTAAGAAATTTATCAGGAGCACCCCATGCTTTAATTATTTGTGCTAAAACATTGTAGATGAATTTTGAAAAAAGAATTATTCAATCTCTTGTTCCCATTTAATTATAAGATAAATTATTTTTTTTTCATATTAGTTCATGATTAATTTCATAAGATTTAAATAAAAAAAGATTTTATGAATTAAATAATTGTAATTTTAAAACTCCTGCTTTTGCCATTAGTTTCATTTTATTTATATATGCATGTTGCCATCAGAGAAGGATGTTTGTAAATGTATAGTGTCTGAGCGGCACAAGAGCACAATAAATATGTGGTGAGCTGAAAGTCCTCTTGAGAGGTTGGCGGTTGGGAATGAAGGGTGGGTTGTATGGTGCTCAAGGCTATTGCCATCGACAGGTGCGATCTTGCACTGCTTGCCATTATGAATTTCATGGGCTTGTTCTGATTTTATTGTCAGACAAGCGAGATAAATCATAACAACATAAATTATTAAGGTCAAACACACAAATGAAGATCTGCATGATAGGAGTTCTTTTACAACAGTGGTACATCTAACTGCCATATCACAGGCCTAGGATCGAATCCCATTCAATGATGCTAACAGATGGCGACCAAAGCTAAATGAAGTGTATGAGATAGAGCAATACTGTGAAGCAATTGAGTTTTCTATTTCAGCTCGTTCAAAATAGCTTTCCCGAATACATTTTTTGCCTCAACAAGTCTTGAAGAAAAGTTACTTTTCTTACATATTTTTACATTAGCATTCGTTAATTACTGTTATATAGCTCAGCCTACAAAATAAACGCACAAAAGTTTGAGCCTTTAAAATTCTTAAATCTTCTTCAATGGCCAGACAGCCCAGGATGCCTTCCTCAGAATCGAATTCCAAGCTCTTTTATCCCTGGCCATGGACAACCAATTGGTTATTTTTAAAATTCTTAAGTCTGTTTCCAAACAGTACAGCCACCTAAGTTTAGGTCTCCCTCTTTTTCGGGTACCGAATGGTCTGGACGAGAAGATCTTTTTAATTACTCGATTTTCATCCATTCTGCACAGGTGTCCTGCCCATTTAATTCTCTGAATCCTTATATATTTTACTATATCTATTTCTTTAAAGGATTTATAGAGTTCAGAATTACCGTAAATTCGCGCGTATAGTCCGCGGACTATCTGTGTTTAAAATGCGAATTTTTGAAGCTGCGGACTATCCACCAGTGCGGATAATACGCTGGTTGTTCACGGTTAAAATCGTTGGAAAAAAACACGCTGTCGTGAACTGCCGATGATCAAATATAAAAAAAGCGCGAGATTCCAAGAAAACATTCGTATGTATCGTATCAATAGTAAACCATAGAGCATAGTGCAGAACGAATGAGTAGTAGCAAGTAGAGCTCCTAAAATCCAGGCTGGTGCATCAAGCGATGCCGGGATATAAGCCAAAGAAAGTCTTGTATGAACACTCACTTAGCGCAACCAGAGTCTTGTATCCCAGTATCCTTCGCACTGCTTTAATACGCTGAACTGCCAGGAGGGGGAAAAGTAATTGATGCGTCAACTCGGTTTTTAGGAGCCTTAGTAGCAAGTACCTGGAGTACAAAAAAAAAAAAAAAGCGTGATTTGTTTACTTATAGCGTGGTTTGGCAACACCGAAGTGAGTGGAGTCGAAGGTCACATTTCATTACCACTTATGACGAGTATAGCACGTTGCACAGTATTTTGTCTTTCATCTTCGATAATGTTGATGAAACATCGCCCGGAAAAAGATGGAAATAGAGAAGCGGGCCGTTATTGGTTTAATCCTAGTATTCGGTGCACACGGGATTTGGCTACTTTTGGCGACTTTATGATGAGCAGTAAAAACGGGCGAGTCATTTAAAAAAAAAATATATAGTTTAACATAGTATATACTACATATATAGTATATATACTATGTATATACACACATAGTATATAGTGCATAGTATATATATAGACGTTCTTTGGATCATTTTTGGTGTTGGCAATAATTTTCAAAGTCGCGCCAAGGCTGCACCGTATACTAGGATTTTACCCCGTTATTTTGAAGTGGACGAGAAAGCGGTGAGAAATTGGCGCAAACAAAGGATGTGTTTAAAAAGCATGGGAATATTGCCGTATTAAAAAAACGTAATTTCGGACGTATAGTCCACGGACTATCCGGTGGTGCGAACTATCTGACGATTTTTGAAATTTTTTTTATATAAAATCTTGCATGCGGACTATACGTGCGAAATTACGGTAGTTCATCTTCTCCAGATATTGTTGCATTTTTTGCCACCAAAAATACTTCTCAAAATTTTTCTTTCAAAGACAAAAATTATACTTTCAGCTTTTTCTGTTATTGCCCAGATCTCAGTTGAGTATGGAAGAATGGGTATGATTAATCTTTTGTAAATTAAAATCTTTGTTTTTCTGCTAGTGAAGTTAGAATTCAAGTATTTTTTGAGACCGAAAAAACATCGGTTAGCATCTGTGACTCTACTACGGATCTCAGGCATTAAGTCATTGAGAGTATTAACTTTTGATACTAAATATTTAAATTTGCTAACAGTTTCAAATTTGTACAGTACAAAGTCCGTAATCTGACTTCGGCGATTCCGGATTAGGGGTTTTTCTGGATTAAAGATCATCAATTTAAATCTAGTAAGATGGCATGTAGAAATTATAC